CAAAGTAATAGTTATCATTTCACTGATGTTTTCATGGGAACACACCCAAGTAATATCCAAACAAAAATTTCCCATGTCCCCGCCTCCCTCTAGAACACACAGACAAAGGCAGAGATGTTTGCTGTGAGGTAACACAGTGTGAAGAAAAGGCAGCCTTATATGTCTCTATTATGGCAGCAAGTTAGCATGGGCAAATGTGCTTTGGGCACAAACATGATTTCTGCTAATATTTTCATGAGGAAGCTTTTATGATATGCAACCATTTATTCTTAGTACAATCAATCATTGAGGGATTAAGTCTGACTGGTGAACATAAATATATGCAGAGAGGTTTCTGACGGTTTAGATTTGAGCACATTTGAAATATTAAAGGCATGCAATGTAAAAACACAAAGATGTGGGACTACAGTGAGCATCCTACTGGTGTGTTACATGGCTTAATTCTGCTCTGCTCATGACTCTTAAAGGGGTCAGTCAATATTCTATTTTTATCATTTTCTATCCTTGATATACAGTGTGGTTGTATCTTCCTAAATGAGAAAAAAAATATATATCTTTGGAAAAGAATTCTGATCTCTGAAAACATATATTGGTAACAGCTTTGCATTAATGATCTCACTTAAAATAAAATATCCTTTCTCTCAAGCTAGAAGCTGACAAGCATTAAACTCATTATAACGTTTGCCATGTGGGTAATACAGTGTAGCAATCAATGTGACTCACTATTCCTTTAAAATAAAAATCTTTTGGCCAGCGCAAAGCAGACACCAACCTCTTAAGTGTACATTGAATAATTTAAAGTTAGGATGAGCCCTGCCTCTTCTGATACTGTATTCTAAGTTTCTCCAGTTGTTCCACACACTGTGCCTGGGCCAACTTCAACGTCCGATTCTCCTCCGTCAGAGCCTCGAATTCCCGAACCAGCTGAGCAGCATCCACCTTCTCCTTTTCTGCCTGATCCAGCTTGGCAATGAGCTCCTTCCTGAAGATTCAGGGTATAGGGCAGGAAGAAGGACAGAGTTCAATGAAAACAAATTATTCAATAACCGCATGATGGAAGCAGATGGTTTCATTCTGCTCTTCTAAATTTTTACCCATCTCTACTTGCCTCTAATGATTTACTTTTATTTTTCCAACTTTGCAAGCTTTAGATCTTTTTATTTTATTCTAGCACCTCTAGTAGACACATCTGAAATATTAACATATACCAAAAAAGCCCCATAGGTCCTTCAATAGTCCAAAAAATTGATCTTTATAACAGTACGAGAAGTTGTAAAAATCGTAACTAATTTATGGAAAAACAAAACATCCCAGTTTATAATTTTTCATAATTTAAGATGTTGCTGTTGTCTTGTAGTTTGCCCCTTACCAAGTCTTTGTTCTCCAAATTTAGTCGTTATTGTCCTTTGTTTCCTATATCCAAGTTTAACAAATCTTCACTGGGCTTCTTAGAACTAAAGAATGCCAACTCTATCCTTGCAGACATTGTAATATTTCCCACGTCTTTCCCTAGTCCTTGCATATATATTTCAGCCCTCGTTAACGAAACAATGTGTCTCCATTTAGTGCTGGCCTGACTCTAAAATTGAGGAAGCAGGCTGAGGGTACAGGAGGAAATTGGCAATGACAACGCCTTAAGCAAATTCAGTTCTCAGTAAATATTTGTAAATAATTCATCCATGTAAATACACATTATGAGGAGCTACGATCTGCAGTTCGTGTTTAGATTTAATAAACATAACAACCAGGTCCACTGCCTTTACAGGGTCAGTGAATCCTAACCTAGACTAGATCTAATTAAATTCTCCTTTGCCTCACATTTCTTCGTCCTCTGTAGGGCAAATGTTCTTCAGATACATAGTTTTCTAGATGGGCTTCCTAAAGGGAAGGCTTTCTACTGCTGGTGTTATTAATAACATTAGATGATTGTAGATAGTACCTAGGCAAAGTTTTAAGACTCTTAAATTTATTTAATATGTATTTTTAAATAGAAACCAACACATCAAACTCCATAATTTCAAACATCACATGCCCTAAGAGTAGGCTAATTAAAAAAAAAAAAATCTATGTAACTCTGATTTAAAGAAAAGTATTGGTAAATGATAGTGCAGATACGGCATAATTCACTGAAGTTGTACCCAACTGACCAAAGCTTGGGGCACACTGCCGCCAGCCTCAGTCCCAAGCCCTCTTCTTGGCCTCCCCAAACCCTGCAAAGCCCCTGAGGCTTTGTGGGTGTGTTCTTTTGAACGCCTGTTCTAAAGTAGCAACAATCTTGCCTTAGTGTGTAACAAGGGCAAATATTATCCTCATTAAATTCATGCATTGTTACTGTTGGCCACATCTCTGAAAGCCTCTGGTCTTCCTTCTTCCACTGATCAGATACTGATCTGACACTACATACTATGATAAGAAGAAAAGGAAGTATATATTCCTGAAAAGCAATAATATTCAAGTTTATGTTGGAAATAAGCCTGTGGCCACTGGGAGCAAAGGGGAGTTTCCTGATCAAAAATACAACTTGTTGTGTTCCAATAATCCAGAACAAGAAAATAGCAGACTATCTCATTCAGTTAGGTCTCCAAACATTTTTTATTATATAATACTATTAGTTTAAAAAAAGAAAACTTTGAACACAAGCCCAAACTATTTCTACACGTCTGTATATTTATTTGTGAATTATATATGCACTAACATGTACATTACAAAGCACACCCAAATATATATATGTAACAAGATAGGATTCAATGCTAAAACTAGTGGGTGAAAGGCTAATGAGTCACATGATATTTACACAATCTCAAAACGTATTCCCACAAATTTCTTATTAATTGCAAAGGGGAAAAGTATGGAGAAATCTGGAAGAAAGTGACCGAAGTTGACATCAATACTAATGAGATGAATAGATACAACATGCACTGTGAGAGACACAATATCATTTGTGTGGTGTTCCTGCCAAAAATGCATAATCTAAATTTAATCATGAGGAATACCAGAGAACAGCAAGTTGAGGAAAATTCTACAAAATTGCTAGCCTGTATCTTCAAAAGTGTTAAACATTAATAACTATTCCAAATTTTAAAAACCTAAAGAGAAATGACAACTAAATGCAATCTGTGATTCTGGACTGGGCAAAAAAATGGCTTTCAAGAATATAGTTGAAAAATTGATGTACTTTGAATATGGACTATGAATTAAATAGTCAATACTATTGTATCATTGTATCAGTGCTAAATTTCTTTTTTTTTTTTTTTTTTTTTTCAGAGTCTCACTCTTTTGCCCGGGCTAGAGTGAATGCCATGGCATCAGCCTAGCTCACAGCAACCTCAAACTCCTGGGCTCAAGCCATCCTCCTGCCTCAGCCTCCCGACTAGCTGGGACTACAGGCATGTGCCACCATGCCCGGCTAATTTTTTCTATATATTTTTAGGTGTCTGATTAATTTCTTTCTATTTTTAGTAGAGACAGGGTCTTGCTCTTGCTCAGACTGGTCTCGAACTCCTGAGCTCAAACAACCCGCCCCCCTAGGCCTCCCAAAGAGCTAGGATTACAGGCGTGAGCCACCACGCCCGGCCTTCAGTGCTAAATTTCTTGATTTTAGTCATTGTATTATACCTTGGTTAAACGAAATAATGTCCTTATTCTTAGAAAATACTCACTGAAGTGTTTAGGGCAATGGATGATGATGGTGTGTGTATGTACATATACATGTGTACATATGCATACATATATATATTTATACACACATATATTTATGTATATATAAATGCATACATATATTTATACACATATATACACACATATACATACACACAGAGAGAATGTGTGTGTGTGTGTGTGTGTGTGTGTGTGTGTGTTTGTGCACACGCGCGCGCGCGTAGGTGAGAAAGAAAGAGAACCCTGGTAATGTTTGGGGAGGAAAAATAAGACACCACTGGGGAAAATTTTAATAATTGGTGAATCCCATAAAGGATATATGGGAGTTCTTTATACTATTTTTGCAACTTTTCTATAAATTTGAACCTGTCAAAATAAAGTTATCCTGGAAAAAAAGGACAAAAAGTAAATCAGAATAGAAGTTCTAGTATTTTCTTCCTGCATCCAGTGAACTGCCTTTTGTACCCAATTTGGTATTCACTAAGCAAAACTAGGCATTGGAAAGAAAGTGCCCCATTAGGGACAAATGGAAGATAATCTGGAATACCGGTATGCATATACACAAAGTTCCTTTGGGCTATTACTGATCTTTGGATCTTCTGTGGTGTTTAGAATAGCCTGCCAATAAATATTTTCTGAATAAATAATTTAAGAAAAAGGCAGCTCAATGATAAATACAGTAATTTATATTTTAAAGCTAAGGAAAGAGAAACTCAATGTGTTCCATTTAATTGAAAAAGTCACACAGCTAATAAGAAAGAGCCAGAAATCAAGCCTATCCTTCTGATTAAATGTTTAGAGCTCTGTGCCAAGTATAGTTTAAGCAGTAAATGTCAATAATTAAATATTGATTAGTAAAAGTATTCATGTAATTATCTTAAAGAAATTAATAAGTTAAAACCTATGTAAGTAAAAAAGAGAGAGACATACTCTAAATCCTCTATCCATCAAATCATCCATTCTTGTTCTATTTTTTCTTTCAAATTACTTATGTCATATAAATAATTTAGATGGAAATAAAGTTTCACTTTCAAATCATGGTCTGGGAGTTGGCAGTACTGGAAATAACAATGGCTGTCTTCCTGGCTCCATATCTGACCTCATTTAAAGCCATCTGTTATGAGTTTTGACTGGTAGAGACAATAAATCACAAAATCACAGATTTTACAACAAAAAAAGAATGGTCAAAATTTTCTAGTCCAATCTTCTCACATTGGAGAAAGTCAATAATAATTTCTCCTTTACTGGAATCGAGAAGATTCAATTGACAGGTTTCCAAATTAGTTTCATGCATTTGGTAAGCAATTATACAGCTATTCAATGACTACTGTCAGACTCTCTATTGTTTCCTGTCTAGGACCTATTTATGTAGACATATTTATGCTCATCCATTATTAATTCATAATTAAACTCTGGCACATCAAGCTACAGACACAATCATATAAAGAGATGATCTGAAGAACAAATCAATATTTATAATTGACTAGAACATGGTCCTGCCTTTGATTTCTCGGTTATCCTGTCATCCCCTTCAATGTAATGTGATATGGACGTAGAAGACCATAGTTACAGAAATCTTATTTCTGAAGTCAAAACCTGTAACCCAGCATTCCATATGATGTAGTTCAATAGTCTAAAGGTCATAGCCTTGGGGTCCAACATAGATTATCTGCTGCCCCATCCTAAGCCACATGCCCGGAAAAGTTTTTAGTAGCTAAAACAAATGGGGGAAGGGAAAGTTCAAGTGACTTGGTAAAGAAGACTTTGAAACTTTGCAGAAATTAATTCCAAAATTAAGGAGATTCTTTATGTTGCAGGAGCTTGAGACATGGATTCATCATTGGGACAAATATTTCTCTGTTCTGAGAAGACCATTTCCATCCTTCCTGGCCCTTTCAAAGTTGACTAAGGGCTTTTATTTGGAAAAGGCAAAATTCTAGGCAATTTAGTCCCAGTGAGCTAAAGACTTTTGGATAATAATGTAATAAAATAATATCTTCATCCTAGGGAGAATTTCATTTTAAAACACAGATTTAGACTGTACTCTTGGTGGTTCTTGAGAGACTTATGTCCAAATATAAGCATCTGTATACAGGAGAGGAGTAGATGCCTCAAGATGACAAAAAGCATGTGAAAGTCTACCCTTGTCTTATGCAGGTGGAGGAATAATAAATGGTATTGAGTTCAGATTTCCAAAGCTCAGTCTGGACTATGATGGTGAAGCCCTACAAATGAATAATGCATGAACAAACATACCTATGTCTTCTGGGAACAAAAGGGCAACACTGCACTGTTGGAGGAGGAAGTGAGACTTGCTCTGATACA